CTCATGTAGCTTATTCTCGAAGTTGTCAGTTGTCCAAGGGAAAAGTTCATTTGCTTTTCTGACAACAAATTGTACAAGAAATTATTTAAAATTCCAGAAAGTCCACATCTGTGCAGATTGTCTGACAGAATTTCAATGGAAACTGAATCAAAAGCCCCCTTAATGTCCAAGAATACTGAAGCCAATTGCTCCTTGTGTGCAAAGGCCAGTTGAATATCTGTGGAAAGCAGCGCTAGACAATCGTTTGTTCCTTTGCTCTTGCGGAACCCAAACTGTGTATTTGATAGCAAGTTATTTGTTTCGACCCACTGATCGAGTCTCCGAAGCAGTGGTGGCACGAGTCCAGGAGTTCAACATTTTTTCCTTAACATTTGATACTTTTTGCGATAACCATTGTGACGACACACAAAAACAAACTGGCAAGCGGCAAAAATGTCATGACATTTCTAAACTGTTTTCTGCCAGCGACAGAACATTTTCGCACGAAGAAGCAGATAAGACCGGCGGCACGCGCGACATAAATTTATGTCGTGTAGAATTTTGCTGATTTCTGGCTAATTACTGCATTTATTTGATGTATATTGCATGGAATTAAAAGATAAGAATGAAGACTGACCACTCATAAGCATTGATGTTAAAATTATGCGTAAATAAGGGAGTTGGTAATTTACTGTCACACGCAAGCCTGCAGCTAAAATTTCATTACAATAAACTGTTTGGAAAAATCAGGCTGCGAGATTTTATTTATTCTCTATCTCCGCTGTTCGCTTGGAATGTAGTTATAAACGGCCGCCCGTGTGCTGGCTGTTTTGTTTCGCTCTGGACGATGGTTTTTCAAAAAATGTACTGTTGCCACCTCTGCTCCGAAGGATCATTTTCACCAACAATTTCCTAATGCGCGAAAGCATCGCAATCGGACGGTATGAGTTATGGTCAGACGCTGGTTTGCCAGGTTTTCGAATGGTTATTACTTTGACCTGTCTCCATTCAGGCGGTATAATGTTGTTTTCAAGTAAGGAATTAAGTAAGTCTAGCAAGCGTCTTTTAGCGATATCTGGGAGATTTTTCAGAAGATTGAATTTAATCATATCGCTTCCCGGTGAGGAGTTGTTCGATGAAAGAAGAGCCATAGAGAATTCCAGCATTGTGAATGGTCTATCCAGAGAGCTGCCGCTCGGAGACGCTTCTCGAAGAATGTGTTGTGCTGGAACTGAGTCCGGACAGACCTTTTTAGCGAAATCGAATATCCATCGGTTGGAGTATTCTTCACTCTCATTAGAAGATGAGCTGTTACGCATGTTGCGAGCCACCCTCCACAAGGTGTTCATTGAGGTTTCTCGTGAGAGTCCCTCGATGAAATTGCGCCAATAACCGCGTTTTTTTGCTTTGATTAATTGTTTCAGCTTTGCCTCAAGCTTTGAATATTCCTCGAAGTATGTGGAGGTTTTGTGTCTACGAAAAGCTTTGAAAGCATCAGATTTTTCTACATACAATTTTGTGCATTCTTCGTCCCATCCAGGTGTGGATGGTCTCCTTTTAAAGGATGCACTTAGAACTTTTCTTTTTTGTGCTTCCAGAGAGCTTTTGTATATCAAATCGGTGAGGAATCGATATTCTTCCAATGGTGGGAGCGTATCTATTGATTCGATTCCGATAGTCACCGCCGTTGCATATTTCTGCCAGTCGATGTTCCTTGTAAGATCAAATGGAACTCGAGATGGTTCTGCAGATTGAGGGCCACACTTAATTGAAATGATGATTGGCAAATGATCGCTACCATGGGGATCATTGATAACCTTCCACAGACAATCCAATGATAGTGATCTTGAACACAAAGATATGTCGAGTCGGCTTTCTCGAGCCGGAGGTTTAGCTATACGTGTCACTTCACCAGTGTTCAAAATAGTCAAGTTGAAATCGTCACATAAATCGTAAAAAATTGCCGCTCTATTGTCATCGTATAGATCGCCCCACCCAGTACCATGGGAGTTCATATCACCTAGAAATAATACTGGGGATGGAAGAATCGAAACTAGATTCCAGAGTTGACTACGGCTAATGGAGGTTCTTGGTGGAACATATACTGAAGCTATGCAAAGATTTTTGTTCTTCACATTTATTTGGCAAGCGACGATTTCGACGCCTGATAGAGCAGGAAGGGAAATTTTGTAGCAAGGGTAGCACTTTTTGATCCCTAAAAGTACTCCTCCATAAGAATCGTCTCTATCCAGGCGAATAATGTTAAAATCGTGGAAGTTGAGTTCTTTATCGGAAGAAAGCCATGTTTCACAGAGAGCAAATATATCACAATCAGAATTGTGAAGTAAAAATTTGAACGAGTCTAGTTTAGGCACTAGACTACGGCAGTTCCACTGTAGCATAGTGATCATATCTTCAACCTCGTTCGACGAATTATCCATCGAAAGATATGATTGATGCAAGGAGGGGCCATGAAACAGTCAATTGCTTAAGATATGATTCTAATGTTGGAAGCAAGGCAGAAACTAAGCTTCTAAGAGGGTCTTGTATGTTGAACATATTTAATATGAATTCCACAATGTCCGAAAAAGCTAGCAAACCGCGTTCGGACTTGGATTTCTTTTGAGAAGTTTGAGGAGCAGCTTTTTTGTTTTTCTTTTCTTTGTTGGGTAATGGCGGAAAATCCTTACTGCAGCCAGGAAGTGGAGCAGTAGGAGCCTTCGATTTAATTTTTTCATCCCCATTACCCTGGGAATTTTGCAATCCTCTGGGAGTGACTTTAGTTTTCTTACGGCGCACTTTCGGGGAGGAGCATTTTCGTTTTGAGGATCCGTTCGTTTTCAAAGGTGCGTGTACCACCGTAGAGTCACCCTCATCGGATGAGTCAGAGTCCGATTCTTCAGCTGACAAAATCGAAAATTGATTTTCATCTTGGACGGCTGATGCAGCCTTCACCATTTGTGCATATGTCTGCTTGGAGCATCCAGAGATTGAACGCTGCACTTTATCGGAGTGCTGCTTGTACATCGGGCACTCCTGCAAGGGGTGAGGATTCTCGTCACAATAAGCGCATTTTACTGATTATTTGTGCCAAGAATCCTCTTTGTGGTTTTCACCACATTTGTCACAACGAGTTTTGTTGCCGCAATGGCTGGCTGAGTGTCCCAGCCTTTTGCAGTTGGTACAATTATATACCCTCTGTACAAACAACCGCACCGGAAAAAAAGCACCATCAACTTTGACAAAGTTTGGGAGAACTGAACCAGCGAAAGTCACCCGAAACGAGTCTGAATGCTGATAAACTTTCTTGTCATCTTGCAAAGATACGGAATGCAGTTGCCTAACATCCAGTATCTGTACCTGCTGACCGATTTTCGAGTTTTTGAAGCAACCCGATGCTCGTTTTAAATCCTCGACATTCAGACTCGCGTCGGAGACCACACCTTCTATCTCCACATCAATCTCGAGAAGGGATGTAGATGTTGTACTCAACACTAAACAGCTCATGTTCAGCAATTTTATTTGCCACATCATAAGTCGGTGCTTCTACACGCAGTTTATTGAATCTCTCCTTATGTACCAAGATTCCCGGATACTTCCGCAGCAAGTCTCTCGAAATGTCGAGAGTTTTCAAAGGTTTATTTTTAGGCCGAAAAAAGACAACCCATGGTCCTTTCGAAGACGGTTGGTAGTATCTAGTTCGCGCAACGTAGGTATCCGAAGACACCATGAGTGTTGCGCAAAAGCAGTGCACAACCGCTTAAAAAGGAAAGAAGAAAAAAAAATTTAAAAAAAAACCCTTCACCAATTAAACTACTTAACTACTAGATGTTAATATTTTGTTGCCCAGTGTATAAACAACCAAGCAAAACAAAAACAAAATTATCAAAAAAAAAAAAACTTTTCACTAGTTGCAAGAAGTTGCACCACTATAGCCCTCACAACCCTATCAGGGGAGAGGGCAAAGCCACGCGCAAAATTTTATAACAAAAGCGTGGCAATGGGCTAGAGAAGACTATTGTATAGTATACTTAACACCGGCCGGTGCCGGCTGTGTGAGCTTGTGCAGCCACTCCGTTTGCTGCTTTGTTGTTGTTGCTTGCTGCTTTGGAGTGGTGATGAGACGATGACGGTGAGATGATAGTCCACCTATAGCGTCGCTAAAGGTGGCTACTTCCTCTGCTGACTGCGGTTGCCTTGGGCACTGAACTTCGTCCACGGTAGGTAAAACGCGCGATATAAAAAAACCACTATGGTGGGAAAAAAAACTCCACCGGCTACGAAACCAATACCCGCAACGGAGACACGAACAAACTACGTCCGGCTACTTCAAGCTATCGGCGAGGAATGTCGTGTACCCTTGGTAGCCATCTTAAAACTGAATGAAAAATTTCTAAACCAAAATTTTTTTCCTTGGTTTGTTTACCGTCGATCTTGTTTTCTGTGCTGAGCACCAATGCTACCGACGCCAAGGAGGTAGCTCCCACACATGGACCCTACCTATCGACCCATCAACTCATGAACCGGGGACCAACGGCTTCCGAAGGAAGACGTGATCAGAGATGTTATGCCTCAGAACATCCCGGCGGCGCCGACAGGGATTGAATCCAGGCCTGCTGGGGTGAGAGGTAATTACGCTTTTCATTACACCACCGACGCCACTAAGTGTCTTCAGCAATGTTTCTTGTTATATTTTCTAAAACTTTGCCGAAGACATCGATCCTGCATTTGAAATTTTCGAAAAATTACTTTTGACCAGTTTTTTACAAGTGTTGAACCACTGTGCGCGCCAGTGCTGATCTATACATATCTTGAATTAGTGCGAACATGCACATTGAAGATGGATAACCAAATCCCATCCGCCATCTATGTGATGCCATTTGTTCTGATCAGAAACTCAGTCTTTTTTTAGATGAAAAAAAAAAATCTTTTGCGTGTAGTGATTATACGATTATGCCCTTGTCCCCTTGCTTTATTTTGATCTTACCTGATCTTTAACAAAACAAATTATTCCATTTCAGGTGACGCTCAGCTGAAACCGTTTATAACGGGTGAGCCTGACACATCAACAATTAGTCTTGAAGGTACAGAAGACTTCTTAATAATTGCAACTGATGGTTTGTGGGAATCGCTTACTGAAGATTTTATCGCTTTATTCATCTACCGGAAGATTGCGGAAAATCCGGGTAAGTGTACTAATATTTCTTTTGTTTTGTCTTATTTGGTAAAATTTAAATAATATTACGTCGCAGTTCAGCATGGAGTTACTCTTCTAGACATAGAAATGCATTTAACAGTGTTTGGCATAAAGGGTTGATTGCCAAATTGAAAAGGTTTAATTTTTCACTCCATATTATGAAATTAGTTCAAAATTATTTAACTGACAGAACTCAACAGGTGAATTATCAGAATTTCAAATCTAATCCACTTAGGGCAGGAGTTTCTCATTGTAGCATTTTGGGGCTTAAGCTTGGGAAAATACATTAACTCGCGCGAGCACCACAGATACAAAAAACCATCCTAACTTACAAACAGATTGCCGAACGAGTGTAAATTCTTCCACCCAAGTGACTCTAACTTGAAAGTACCAATCAATGGGTAAAAAAACATTTTGAAGAAAAGTGGCTTCAGTCATAATGAGTAAATTTTTTAAGGTATTGATGAGTATCTGGTACCCATTAGGGGCTGTTAATTAACTGCGTAGACGGTTTTTTTAGGGTTCTTGACCCCCCCCCCCCGCGTAGACAATTGTCCATATAAATTTTTATAAATTTGTATGGGCCGTGGATAATTGTTAACCCCCCCCCCCTCTAAACTATCTAGGTAGTTTATGAACAGCCCCTTAATGAGTTATAGTTACCGATTAATGGGTTACATATACTCATTAACTCTTCAGATTGGAGGGTTGACAGTTGTTGTTATTCACATCGTCGTGATTGTGCGTTGCTAAATTTGTCGATTTTTTATCACACGGGCTATCGTTATTCGTTTTTTTCCGTTCGGTATACCTGTAATATTGTACTGGTTGTTAGTGGAAAGTGCAGTTCGTTGCGATAATCGTCTAATTAGAGCATATTTTGTGTTGTGAAAACAGTGAAAAAATTATCCAATCAGACATATTGTAGTGTATACTGTCTAGCATTGGGCGATCTTGAGAAGCCAATTCCTCTTTGTGTATTAGAGCATCTCCACCGCTGTTTCTAAATCACTTTTAGAAACTGAGTCAGCATGACTTCCGCCTGTGACCAATGCGCTAAACCAGTTAAAGGCGATGAAGAATCCGTCTCCTGCATGGCTTTTTTGCGACAGGATGATTCACCTAAAGTGCGGGTGCAGTTTCGAACGCCTTTGGATACGGTTGTGTTTTAAGTTTGTTCTCTGTTTTGTGCGTGCGTTCGCTCTCATAGTTTTCGGCTGCAATTGCTTGATTATCGCTGGCGCTCTGCTTCCCGGACGTTTATACGTGCGTGATTGGTAGTTTTCTCGCTTTCCGGGAAGTTTTAGAATAGAGAAAGAAAACGCGATTCAACATGTTTGCAAGCATCAGAAGAGATGTCGCGATCTGCGTTGTTTGATTTTCTCCCGGACCAGAAATTAGTGGCATCGCGAGTGATAATTTTTAATTTCACTTTGACTATATATGTTTTAGTATTACTTCTACGTGAAGTCAACGATTTACATAGTTGAAGATGCTAATTTCAAATAACAGACTGTAGTGGTATTTTTTATACGATAGATGGAGACACCATCCCTCTCCAAAGGGGGAGTTTGGTAAAGAGAGATGAAAAAACCGATTTGTACCTTCCTTAAAAGTTGTTCTAGCTCGCTATTCTAATATCTATATGCAATCTTCACACTGCCGTACTCTAACGGAACTATCAACTCTATGCTTTCATCTACTCCATCTATCGTATAAAAATTACCACTACAGTCTGTTATTTGAAATTAGCATCTTCAACTATTTTAATTTCAGTTTATTTACGCACTGCAAGGTGCGTGAAAGAGCTCGGCACAATCTGTGTTGATGTTCGCTCGCTTGTAACTTTTTTTGTTGTGTTTTCGAAAGAAATTGATCGGAATTGTACCAAAAGTGCTTCTGAACGTGTTTCGTAGTTGGGTGTGGTGAAATTCGTGAATTCGCGGTTTATGTTCAGTGAAAATTCCGTGTCACAAAATTGCTCACCGAGTTTCCTTTTTTTGCCGTTCGACGACGACGGGTTTGCGAGAAAAAAATAAGCATCGGGAATTTACTCCCGGATGTATTGATTTGGTGAGTACGTTCCAGTTGAAGATTGTTCTTATACATATCTCGATTGCATTTTCGAGGGGACGTTCGGAGAGCTTTGAGATTTAGGCGTTGTTGCATTTGCGGGCAGATGAGTTGGTCGCCGGTAAGGGCCAGTAAGTGCTGCCAGCAGATGAATCAAGAGGTATTCGAAACAAAATTGATAAGAAATGTCCATTCAAATCGATTTAATACAGTTGAACAAATTTCAAAACTATATACGTGCCAGATTTGGAAATAATATTTTTTGAATCTGGAAGTGTGTTTATGATATCATTATCCATTTGATAAAGGTAGAGTGAACATGCGGGGCTTATTGTAAGTAAAAGTGACCTCGGAATGGTCGTGAATTACCAGGCATTCTGAAATGGGTCACTGGAGCTGCAATAGAGCTAACACCTTCTAACTCCCGGACTAAACCTGCTTTAATTTAAGGGTAATAAAAAGCAGTTTTCTTCCATAATAACACTGCCGGACAGTGGGTGTTAGATTGTACACACACACACACACACACACACACACACACACACACACACATATACTCAATAACTCTTCAAAAAGGGTCTTTTTTACCAGTTAATGGGTACATTCATGTTAGCGTGTAGACTCGAAACTGGCCAGGCCGGTGACAAGGTCTATACTAACAGCTATGTTTGACAGTAGGCAGCATGTCCGGGGCCCAAATCGTTTGTTTTGCTGTATTGGGCCCGATGTCACCATATACAATGTTGCCTACGAGCCTGCCACCGGGCTGAAACTGACAGCAGTAGAAGGAATAAAGGATAAACCAGGGGGAACGACACTTCAGGATTATCCCATTTTTACCCAAACCTCTCATAAAATTTTCAACGTGCACAGAATTTCAATCCATCCTATCTATTCTTTCTATTCCCAACTTATCCCTTCTGCATGCACACAAATTGTCAAGCAAGCCGTGCAGTTTTTCGAAGATTTCAGGTAGACCGCGAAGCACTCTGCCATACTCACTGTCAGTTTTCAACAATCTCCACCACAAACACCACGTATGTCTATTCGAGTGTCTGTTGGCCATAATCGGTCGCGGGGGCAAAAACATCAAGTGCATCACACAAAAAACCGCAAAGCACATCCATTTCCCGGACTCAAACCGATCGAATTTGATGGATAAGAGCCCAGGTGCATGCTTGGCATACACAGTTTTGGTCACGAACTGCTCATTTGCTAATAACTTTGAACAAAGTTGACGAAAAATAGTTCTTTTTGAAGTAGTAGATAGAATAGAGTTTAAGTTTTGGTCAAGGGTTCGGAGAAGAAAGAGCTAATGGTGAAAGACGACACTCACCGGGTGATGGAGCTTCTGTTCGAGAATATTGCGAATCAACGTTTGCCGAAACCTGTACTTATGACCCACCCGGCAGTAGAAGCAGCAATAGACCTTCACTTACTTCCTAGTGTTAGCCTTAAGGCTAACTGAATTACTGAATTACTGAATTCATCTAAGTTTGCTAAACATGTTTTGGTGGGAGAGTCAATCGACTGCGTACATGGTTTTGAACTTTTGAACACCCTTATAAATAATCAGGAGATCCAGGAAATCACTGAGATTGTTCATTAACAACACAAAAATAAATAGTGCTGCTCTTCTTCATTCTCATGGCTCTTAACTATTTACTTTTAATCCGTTTATCCTCATCGTCCATCAAATAATTTCCAGCAGCATGCAAATGCGTATCTAGGACCTAGATACCGGTTGGAAACGTTTGATTACTACCTTCTCTTTGTATTTGCTTGTTGTTTTTTCATAAATTTCATCCTTACTTGGTTTTGCCGGAATTGCATACTTATCCCCTGTTGGCGGTTCCGATCGCATTTATAAATACCGCGATTCAGATTGCCTCCGTCGAGGGCTCCGTTACCTCCGGTATGGTTACCTTCACAATTCTGTTAGCAGCATTAAGAAGGACTCACTCGTTTTCTCAGAACGGCCGTCCCGGTCGCGTTCTCTCCTGTGGCTTTTCTACGGCGAGGAGACGATTTTTGCAAATCCGCCTCACTCGCATTCAGAACGGCCGCCCCGGTCGAGTTCTTATCCTGTGGCAGTGTCACCACGAGACGATTTTTTTTTTCAAATCCGTCCTCACTCGTTTTATCAGAACGGCCGTCCCGGTCGCGTTCTCTCCTGTGGCTTTGCTACGGCGATGAGAGTTTTTGCAAATCCATCCTCACTCGCATTTAGAACGACCGTCCCGGCCGCGTTCGTATCCTATTTTCCCTGCAAGTGGGTGATTTGCCCTTTTATTAACTATCGGGGGTCTCCAAGATTCCAGGTTCGTCTCCTGGCAGGATCGCCGGAAATGTGAAAATCCGCCGATATTAATTATGGGCAAATCACCCACGACACAGCTAATCAATGTCCAACTTACCCGTACAGAAGCTTGAATCCAAATGACCTTTCACCAACTGTCAGGAAATGTGTATGAAAAGTCACGACCTACCTAGTTATTATCCATCTCATAGTTTGCAACAAACAAATATTAACTGACCGTCCATAACAGTGACAGCTCGTTCGTGTGGTGTATTTGAAAACGCGCGAATTTCTAATGCGTGTTGCAAAATGCATCGCACGTGTAATTTGATTAAAGATGTGAAACAGTGTAACGAAAAAAATTTAATTTGTTCCTTGATTTCAAAAGTGAAAATACTGAAAAAGTCTGTAAAAGTCTGTAACGAAAAAAATAAAAATCTGTAAATTCACAGACATGTCTGTAAATCTGGCAACTTTGGGACATGCTATAAATAACAGATGGCATCAAAATCCGATTTTTTTTTTAAATATTTTAGCATGTGAAAAATCAAAACCTTTGTTGGTTTTTTACACGGTACATGAAAATCGGCATACGCTGCTATTTTATCGAACACAAC